GCCGGGCAGCCGCGCAAACTGCTCGGGGAGCCGGTTGAGCCCAGCTGAGTCGACGCCGCGCGAGGAAGCCCTGGCCTCAGGCGCGCAGAGGCGGACGAGGATCTGCCCCTAAGCTGAGCCGAGCTGGCGCAGCCCCGCGGCGTCAGGATGTCTTACAGAGGCTAGAGCAGCGCTTTGGACTAACCTGCCTTACGAGCGTGCAAGTCGGTGTGCTGATGAGCCCCCGCGCCTAAATCTTCAGGGAAACAAATCGAGCTGGATCTGATGCTATGAACTGAGCAGGGCGGCCGTCGTTCCCCTCTGCGGGCTGCCACCCGGCGCGGCCACGGAAAGGGAGCCGGCTAAGCCCCTGCAGTCTGTTTGCAGGAGGAAGCGCTTGCACCTCTGCTTCACCCAGACGAAACGCAGCCTTGGAGGACCCTGAGCTGCTACCGAGAAATAAGTTAAGGATGCTCTGCAAAACATCCCATGCATATTCCTTACAAGCCACAGCCCTAAAACCGCAGGATTGTTGTTAGCCAGAACTCTATAAAAACCTGTGAATACACGACATGGTTCCGAAAAAGGCCTTGCAAGGCGGATAAAATCTAGAGCACACACTCAAAAACATGATCCACACTGTAAACAACTGAAGGGGGACAGAAAGGAAGGGCAGGAACTGGCCCAGCTGGGGCTGCACCGGTGGGGACGACGTCCGACGTCCGGGGTGGGCGCGGAGAGGGGACAGAGGGGCTGAATAAGGCACACCGAACGGACTGGGGTAAACACTGCGTGGGTGGGAAGTGCTAACCCCCGCCCCTTACACGCCGGGCTGCCTGTGCCCGGCTGGCTCTGGGCATGGCGGTACTGGGGACACGGCCTTGTTGAGGCGTCTTCCAAAAAACGGATCACAAAGCGCAGCACCAAGGGTTATCCGGATGGGATACCCCCTCTTAGCCCCCCACCCCCCGCAAACCATTTGGCAACAACGAGAGGAGAGAGGAGTGGGGCGGAGGGGATGGGCAGGCCTGGCCCCGGGCAGGGCTCCTTCCCTGTTGGCATTTACAATCCCGGAAACGTATCTGCTAGCTCCTTTGCCTGGATCCTGCATCCCGCTCCGCAGCCAGCTCCGCGCGCGGCTGCCCCAAGCCTCCTTTATTCCAGCACTTGGAACAACATTGTCACTGGCTGTGAATTTTATACATACTGTTTTGCACTTTTTTTTTTCCTATAAATCCACCGGTATTCAGACATGCATCAAAAAAATCCCCAATGGATTCTAAATACTAATATTTACAGTCTTATATACTACAGAATTTACTGTGCAAAAGCTAGTACCATCACTAAAAGATACGGGTTCACAGGACGAGTGAACCACAGTACCTTGGCTAGTCAATATTTCCAGGGTTCAGAGGGATTACCGTTGCTTAAATAATGAGATTTGAGAGGAGGAGGGGGATACGATGACTGCAGATGGCGGGTCCCTGCCCACATTTTCAGTGCCTCTTCCGCATCTACAACCGGTGCCTTCGTCCCTTTAAGAAGGCGAGAGAGATCTGGGGTAAACTCAACACCCCTGTAAACAAAAGCAAGCTCCTGGAAAGCAGAGCTCCTCTGGCAGACAGCGGCAGATTCTTCCATCCTTGTCTCCTAGGGCTAAAAAGGTTTCGAGGCAGCATTACAGGGGAGACACAAAACCTCGGCTTCCGCCGCTGCTGCCTGCTGGATAACACTCCAGAGACACGTGACTTGCTTGTGGGTGCTGAGCTCTTGCTGCTCCTCCCTTGCAGATGGGAACAAAAGCTCAGGTCCTTCCGAACGCAAGTGAAATATCAGTCAGTGAATCAGTAACACGCTTGCATGGGACCCTCCTTCCACAAAGCTCTCTCCCCAGGTTTAAAGCTGATTCATGGCACGGAGGGATGGGAGGAGGAGGAAGGTGAGTGCAGCGAGCACTGGCTGATCTCTCGCCTTAGCTGCTGCCGTCTGGCAGGAAGGCGGCTCGCGCAGGCGTTCGCTACCCTTGTGCTGAAAGAGCCCAACATTCACACACCCAGTGATTGCTGCCAACTGGGAGGGAGGGTGCGTCATCCAGTAACAGGTACAAATATTGAACTCCAGTCCGATAGCTGCCCTTGGTGCGTCTGCGGAGCAATTCTCCTCGCTCACACAAACCCCTCCTCCTAGGTTTTCTCTTCCCGGTCTGTTTTTCTCCTCGTAATGTTCCGAGGTTTGATTTTGAGAGACAGTTCCCACAAAGCCTCCTCAGCCAGATGGTCGCTGAAATCGTTGAAGAATGACACTATATCATCATTTCTTTTGATGTCGTAATGTCTGTAAAACCAGAGAGAATAGCATGGCTGCAGTTAACCAAGATGCTGTTCAGGAACCTCTCCCAGCTCAGAGCCACCCCCTCTCTGCTCTAACATACATCCAGCTCTGTGATCTATATTACATGAGCCAGCTACTTATGATAGTGATGTGACACCAGGGAAGGGAGGATACACATGACGCCCACCACTGAACTGGGAAAAAAGACCATTGATCCTGTGATGCTGAATTAGAACTGCGGTTTCTACTGAAAAACAGCATTAAGGAAAGCCCTTCCTGACCTAGAGAACGCAGGGCGAATCGGCAACAATAAAAATCTGGAGAAAAAGCTGTTGTGTGAAAAAGAGGAGCAGGAAAACTTTACGTACTGCATCTCAAAAAAACAATATAGGAAAAACGTCTTTGCAACTTTTGAATCATACCTGGCCTAAAGAGGGGAAGAGGCTGTGACCAAAGAGCCCTGTCACTGCCAGGACTCCTTAAGTCCCCATCACAGTGTTTTGACTTTAGACTCCCGTCCCTTTCCACAGCAGCTCGCGTGCCTCCACCACTGCTGGCTGTAACTACCCCACAGCAGTATCTCAGAGCCAGCTCCGATCCCCTTCGCTGCACTTACACTTGCTGAAAGCACCTCATGCTGTCCAGGATGTTAAACTGCTGCCAGCGCTTGGAAAAGTTCACTTTGCTGTCAATGTAATCTGGGTTTCCCAGATGAACAAAGGTCAGGTCCTGCAGAATTAGGCCTCTGAAAGAGAGAAGGGGTGGTAGGCCAGGGAGTAGGCAAACAAGTACAGAGGTTAGTCACGCACAAGCAGGAGAGCCAGCCAAAAGGCAGTTGCACACAATCTAACTGCCTCCTGCTGCTGCCACCCTTAGCATCACAATTTTAAACTAGAGAGGAGCATCTCCCCCGGCCTCTCCAGCAACTATGAAGGTGTTTAGATCCTACCAGTACATGCAAAGCTGAGATATCTCAGAGGTAAGGCATTAATGTTCACACTAGTGGTGCTGAGTTTGTTGCTCTTTTGCTGTCTGTGGAGAAGAGGACCAGGTTGGAAGAAGGTTGCAACAGGGAGCACCTGCCAGGGGTTAAACCTTCCTTCCAGTTTTATGCAAGAAGACTTTCCTCATGTTGAGGCTTTGCTAGCAAAACAGTCTACGTCTCCCTTCCTCCCTCTACCTCTCCTGCCCACCTGTGTGCCTGCACAGTCCTCCTGTGGACCCCACCACAGGAGATGCTGAGTATCTGTGCAGCCTCTTCCTACAGAATTTCTACCACAGAAGAAAGTAAGACCAGGAGAATTTTTACTAGGATAAACCCAAATGAATTCTGATATCTAGATCAGAGGGCCTGTGCAGAGAAGAGCAAAGGCTTCAACCTTTCATCTGGCGAGAGAATGAAGAAGCACGTGTTTGACAAGGGAGATTCCGAATTTACCAGCTCTTCCAGTCAGCAGAATCAGAGCTGATGCAGAGGAGCAAGAAGCAGCTCAAAGTTGTGGGATTCATTTTAGCTCATGGGAAAATTTGTCCTTCTGTGCACAGACCCCAAAGAAACTGTATTAAAAAGTGTCAGCTAAAGATCCAGGCACTTCACGTCTCCTTTGCCATAGGCAATTCAAGTCAATTCACCTTTACAAAGAAGAAAACTGAGGCACAAAGTAAAGCATCTGAAACAGCAGGAGGTAGTCTGGGCTTTGATCGATGTTTACAAAAAGGAATAAGATCCTCAGAGGAACAGCGGATAGAGAAACTTCTGTCCAGTCATCCTATAGCAGGAATACAGTGCCACAGGGTAAAGGTTGAGCAGTGCCCAGGGCTGCCACCCTGGATGTACACTATGACTTGCTCCAGAGCGGGCATGTGGGTTTGCTATAAAGATGTGGCATACTGACGTGTTATTCTAGATCCAGGGCAAAATGCAAGTGTTTGGTTGAACAGAAGCTGCTGAGAAATCACTAGAGGGACTGCAGGGAATATGCAGAAGTAATGGCAGAGGAAAGACAAATCATCAACTCACAGGTAAGGTATGCAGGGAGGCTCCACATCAGCCAGAGCTGCTCGGTAGGCCCGGAAGGACGAGGAGCTGTCAATCAGCGTGCAGTACTCAGCCAGGCCCTAGCAGAAGACAAAGCCCATGGCAGCACCACTGCTACAAACCAGCTTTCTCTGTGACCTCCCCTCAAGGACCTATGCAGGCCAGGGAGTTAGTACAACCCTGCAAACACCTCCAGTTGATTTAATAAACGTGAGCCTGACCATGTACACAGAACCTCACCACTTTCAGCTTCAGCAAGCCTTAATTTGCAGGAGGGAAGATGCTGCTGTTCTCTCAGCCTGTAACTGTGCTGGCATTTCTGCTGCTGTCAGAATGCCCAGAAACACTGCAGGTTTCCAGCACCATGGCTTTTCTACAAGCAGAGAGCGTTTATCCACCATCCCTCCACACTGGGACATCGCTGAGCCGTTAAAACCCACCCAGCTGTTTCATACTATGGCCACAGTTAGCCTTTTTTCCCCTAAAGATAAAAGACCTTGCTACTCCTTACCTCTGAGGTTTGTTTCTGCCACTCCAGCCTTCGGATGGGTGCAGAATCCAGTGCAGAAAGAATGGCCAGATAGGAATTAAAATTATTCAGCTTTCGTAAGTGCTGTGAAGAAGGAGAATACCAGTTACTTCAGAGATCTGAAAAGCCTTCTGGCAACAAACAGCTCTACTCACTGGAACGTCCCACACTCCTACTCCTGTTCACAGATATTTAGTGAACAGTGTGTGTGACTCACAGGAAGAATCAACCTGATACCTTCATAATCTTTATAAATTTAAGGAGCAGCCTCTCTCGGTCTTGGGCTTTCTCTTGCACCATAATTATTGAACGGACCCTGGAAGAACAGACAAAACAAAACAGAAAGAATGATAAACCCACCTGAGCAGAAATATGATCTCAGATTTCTTGCTTCATTTGCAAAACGGGTAACCAATACAGATGGGCCAACAACGCTGAAAAGTTCACGATGCTTCCAACTTAAACGGAGCACTTCCAATTCACATCGAAAATGGAACGATTTCAAGGATGACCACCATGAAGCAAAATCACCCTGAGGAGTGCACTTATTTGCAGGGGGAACGTTTGTCTGAAGAGCTTAATGACACTGATGACAATTCTTACGGGTTGCCATGCCCTCCAACACCCTCATGATTTTGTATTTCTTGTGTTCTGGGTTCCTTGAGGAGTGCCCTGCATCTAGTTCCCAGCCAAAAATACGCGCGTGATGCCACTATAAGATACAATCCTTGTAACAAGGGAACCCAACTCAAGGAGAAGTATCTTGAACTCTAAGGCACTGCAGGTGAAGCACAGTTCAGTGCCATGGTTGCTCTGATCGCCTTACCAGTAGGACATGTTATTAAAGTGCTCTGTAAACTGTGTCAGGTTGGGGCTCTTCTCTTCATTTTGCTCTTTTGCCCAAAGCAAAACTTCTGGTATCTGCCAAGGAAGAGAGAGAGAGGAGTGGGAGAACACCACACATCATTAAAATAGGATTTCTGCCTTAAGATTCCCCGGTCATAGCCTGTGGCCATAGCCTTTTGCTGACACTATTTCAGCTGTCTCCTACAATGCAACAGGTGTGCGTGTAGAGCTGGCAGGGAGTAATACCAGAGATTGCAGAGGGTATGTGTTAAACTCCCTGCCACCGCCCTCACCCCATCCTTGTCTCCGTACCTCAATTTTATAGAAGAGTTCGGCATCTAGGAGGGTCAGCTGCTCAGCTATTTCATGACTGTGGAAATCGTGCAAGGTCCCCGGTCTGTAGGAAACAAGGATGAAGTATAAAGGCGAAGAAAACGTGACTTGCTTTCTTGCCATCGTTATCTTTTGGACAGATAAAACTGTTGCGTCTGCAGGTGAGGGATGCCTGTCTCTCAGAGAGGAGCAAGATATGGTGACGTGCACAATTCCTCACCTGGCTGCCACCCCACGGGCTGCGAGAGGTTTGATGGAATTGGCGTATCTCAGCATATTCTTCTGATCGACCTTATCGAGGATATTTTTGCGTAACACTCGAGCGAGGCTCAGCTCCCCGTTGCAGACTAGCCGGAACACCAGGTCCATCAGCAGCTTGAGAATTTCGTCTGTCAACTCCACTAAGCTGAGGAAGACGGAAAACCCAAGCAAGACATCAGAGCTACAACTCTGAGTTATGGAATTTCTATCTGTACAGAGTCTTTCCCAAAAGCAGAACCAAGTGACTGAAATTCCTCCTCTTCCCAGCTCTTCCTTTCTTAAAGAGATTCCCCTTTCACTGGTTATTTAAAAATCACAGACCCAGAGAGGACACTGTGACAATCTGTTCTTCCAAAAAAAGAGGGTTCCCTGTGTCCAGCATTGTAGCTGTCTCCTTGGTATAGGTAGGGGGTTTCAGCTCTCATCTCAGAAGGGGTTTAAACAATGCAATGTTCACAGCTGGTAGACTTCCACCTTGTTACTAACCCTGTATCTCCAATCCCAAAACAAAGAAGGCAACTCACCACAGCTCATCCACCACTCTCACCAACACGAAGAAGGTGTTCTTACTGACTCGCTTCTTAAATGTGTCTGTGAAGTGGCAAAACTTCTCATATGTTGGTCACAAATTAAAGAATCAACCTAGCGTAGTCAGATCGATGTTAGTACAACTAACAGCCACCTCGAGGAACATTAGAGTACCATAACACTCTGTCTTGACTGAAACTGGTGTTCAACTTCTAGGAGAGGTGGGACACTAATATTGCTCTAATTAACATGGTACTGAGCTACCACCAGCTGCAGGGGGCAGGGGTGTGAGGAGGTTCTTACACCTTGCAGAATTCATGCTAGCAGAGCAGGTGTGCCCTGAAATTATTATCTCTAAGGTGAAATTTGATGAGCAGCACTCCCCTACTGTGATCTCCCCCACTGGTCTGTGACATCTGGTCTCATAACAGATCTCACTACCCAATTTGCTGCAAACGAAACAGTGTGGGGGAGACAGGACAGCAAAGGTTGAAAAATCTTCCACGGGGTGCAAGTCAAACTGAGGAAAGGGCCTGTGGGAATGCCCCAGCATCTCTCCAAAGCAAGTGTTTTCACTGACAATTGCTTTGCAATGAGGTTTGCTGTGTCCTTCGCAGAACTGATCCCAGCAAAAGCAAGGGGAGCTCAGCCTCTGCTGCAGATGGCAGTGATGAGCTGCGACTCAGGGCAGGATGACATCAGGCTTCCCTTGACGAGCAGTTACAGAACCAAAGCCCGTGGCCTTTGCAGCGCCTGAACTGAGACACTGACCCACTCAGCGCTGATGGCAGTAAGGGAGCCACCGCAACAGAGCCCAGGGGAAGGAACTGCAGACTGGGCGCTCAACAAGAAGCAGTCTCCATACTTGCCGGAGATGCTCCCCTCTGCCTCGACCTGCCCCAGAGCATTTCCCACCTGTGGGGTGCAGAGGTGAGGGAATCCCTGCTCAGCAGCGGGCAGGCAGGTTATGTGCGACACCTCAAACGCAAGCACATTACCGACCGCATTGCCAGCAGGCCTCTGACTGAACAACTTCCCACCAACTCCGTCCATGACAACTGCTTGGCCCTCATCCTCGAAGAGGTTGAACTGTCGTTTATGCAAAAGGATATCTGTACTGCAGCTTCTTGATGAGCTCTTCTGGGGTAATAAATGTCCTGTATGTGGTCAGAAAGGCTTCACAGTACAGCACCAGATCTACAGAGAAAGACAAGGGAGCGTCAATCAACCCTGCGTTTAGAAAAGGAAGCTCATTCTTAGGTTGAAGCCAATTTTACAGAAAGAGGACGGGGACACATTTTGACAAGAAGGAGCTTTACAGAAATGCTGTGGTGTTGTTTCTTACCAGCAGATGGACCCTAAGGCATAAAAGCAACAGTGAAACTGCCCCGACCCCAGTGTGGCCTTGCTCCCCTTTGAAGCAGTCAGACTTGCTTTTTAGCTTATGGGATCGTGAAAGGGGTCAGTGAAAAACGTCTGTCTATGTGTCAGAAACGTATAATAACAGGTCAAGGAGAAGTGTGCTGAGGACCTTGGAGATACTCTAAAGAGAAGACTTGACTATGAGAGATGGGAGTCTGTTCTCTGTCTTTACTACTTAGGTAGCACAGAGCTGCGCAGGGAGAACAGGGTCACTCTTCCCTCATAACCAGGAATGCATGTATTTAAAATGATGATATGGTGCCGCAGACCTTCCCCTCCTTGCTGCGATCCAGGAAAATTGCCCCAGGACAGTGCAAACATAAGATTGCTTCCAGCCAAAAGAAGAGAAAATTGTACAGCAAAACCTGACCCTGCCATGACCAGGGCCCTGCTATGCCACGACCCACGGCCACGACACAAGCGCTGACCCGGTTTATGCAGAGAACTTCTGTTTGTTAAGCTGCGCCAGTGGGTGCTCCAGGCCCCAGAGTCACAAAGGCTTTGGCTGTTGTCAGGGGCCCAGAAGATGCAATCCGAAAAAGGAGGAACCACAATAGGGAAAGAAGCTTTCAGGTTAGGACTGCAGTACATCAGCAGTCCTGGGCAAGGCTTGGCCACTGTGGACAGCAGCGGTCAAAATGGAAGCTTATTAGCTCTACTGTAAAAAAGCCATGCTGCAGCGCAGTCAACATCTGCAGCAGCATGGCCCGCTGCCCTTTGCTGGCCTGCTGCAACCGCCGGCAGAGGCTTGTTAGCAGAGCTGGGGGAAGCAGCTTGTGCTGTGCTTGCCCAGGCTAGGCCGTACACGTACGGCTGGCTTCAGCCAGAGTGAGAGCACCCCACACCCATGCGCTGTAACCTCAATCTGCCGTGCGTGGAGGGTGTGAAAGGGGAGGGAATGGTAGATTTGTGCCTTTCTACCTGGAGTGTTTCTTTTGGCAGGAGCCTCACACAGAGATGCTTCTTCCTGCTGTTCTTAAATCAGAGAGAGCTGCTTTTAGTTAAAGACAACCAGACTTAAGCTCTAAAGCCAGAGGTTGGGTGGTCATGTCAGAGGTGAGTCCTAGGCCTTGTCCAGCTGTAATCCTGCACTCACAGCAAGTGCAGCGCTTAACTGACCACAGATTTTGTTCCTAAAGACCACAAGCCTCTTTTTAGCCCTTATTCCATTTCGCTCTTCTGCAAAACTCAAATGGACAAGAAGCATCATGCAACAGGGCGTGGAGTTACATTTATTCTGGGTTCCCATCTGCCCAAAAGGCAACGTGAGGTAATACAGCTGGTCTGCTTTGGCACGCAAAGCTGCCAAGAAATGCATCTTTAAAGGAAAGCCTCTTAACTATACCCTCTCTGTGCAGTTTGGCTGATTGATTTACAAGCCCTGAATTCTTCTCATTGTAAGCTTAATTCATTAACCCTCTCAGTCACCCCAACAGTGGGTTAGCATAGCACAAATTCCTCCATGCTCCATTCAGATCAACAGCTTGGCAGAGTATGTAAAGCTAAGCTCTGTGACTATTCTGAGCAATGTACTGCTCAGATTTCCCTCCACCCATCCGCTCTCCCTGTCCGCACTGCTGTATATTTAAAATCCTGCTCTAGTTTTACTAGTCTGGAGAGGTTCTCCACAGCTTTCACCTCACTGTTTGCAACATCTGCAAAGCTCACCATTCATGCACTGGTTGTCTAACACACACCCCTTAATCAAGTAGCTGCCTTTAAACAGCAACAGCATAGAAGCAGCTCTTCCAATGTGATGCTTGTTCAGGAGTACAGCAATAGCAAACCGGAGCTTCTCTATTCCATTTTCAGCTTTTTAAAAAGGGATATTTTCACCATCTCATTTAGACTTTTTTACACATCTAATGATGGTGTAATGAATTGTCCTCCTCTCTCTACTATGTTTCCGACTTTGGTCTTTTGCCCCTGGGGTGGATGCCCAATGTAGACTGTCTCCTGTAACATCCTCATAGGGAAGCTCAGGAAGTGCGGGCTGGATGAGTGGACAGTGAAGTGGATTGAGAACTGGCTGAAGGACAGAGCTCCGAGGGTTGTAATCAATGGTACAGAGTCCAGTTGGAGGCCTGTAGCTAGCGGTGTCCCCCGGGGGTCAGTCCTGGGTCCAATATTGTTCAACTTATTCATCAATGACCTGGATGAAGGGACAGAGTGCACCCTCAGCAAGTTTGCTGATGATACTAAACTGGGAGGAGTGGCTGATACACCAGAGGGCTGTGCTGCCATTCAGAGGGACCTGGACAGGCTGGAGAGCTGGGCGGAGAGGAATCTCATGAAATTCAACAAAGGCAAGTGCAGGGTCCTGCACCTGGGGAGGAATAACCCCACACACCCACAGCGGTACAGGCTGGGGGCTGACCTGCTGGAAAGCAGCTCTGAGGAGAAGGACCTGGGAGTCCTGGTAGACAACAAGTTGACCATGAGCCAGCAGTGTGCCCTTGTGGCCAAGAAGGCCAATGGTCTCCTGGGGTGCATTAGGCAGAGCGTTGCCAGCAGGTGGAGGGAGGTGATCTTGCCCTTCTACTCAGCCCTGGTGAGGCCTCACCTGGAGTACTGTGTCCCGTTCTGGGCTCCCCCAGGACAAGAGAGACATGGCTGGGGCTCCTGGAGCGAGTCCAGCAAAGGGCTACTAAGATGATTAACGGACTGGAGCATCTCTCATATAAGGAAAGGCTGAGGGAGCTGGGCCTGTTCATCCTGGGGAAGAGAAAGCTGAGGGGGATGTGCTCTAGGTGATCCTGCTTGAGCAGGGGGGTTGCACTAGATGATCTCCAGAGGTCCCTTCCAACCTCAACCATTCTGTGATTCCGTGAAATGTATCTGCCAGAGGAAGGATTTTCTTTCCTAGCCAAATGGTGCTGGTAAGCAACTGCAAACACCTTATGCTACAATAAAAAAGCTACCATTTAAAAATGTACATAAAAGTTATTTCCCCTTTGACTGATCAAGCCTCTCACGTATGAGAGCTGCATTTTGCTTTGCATCCCAGGAGATAAGATCAATTCTGGTTAAAGCCATCCGCACAAATGTGTTTGGCAGGTTCAAAATCAATCCTTGGAAATGCCACAAAGGCCATCTTTGTCACAGGTCTCAGAAAGGAGCTGCATCATGTGGGAGGTGACTGGGTTTGGAGAGATAAAGCGAGGTTTTAACAAACGGGCCACAACAGGCTGTTGGCAGCTGCTCTTTCGGAAGGCTGCGGCCTGCCTCAGCAGGCACGGAGGCATCAACGCAGCACTGTCACCAACGCTGCTGGCAAGCCTTGCCTTCCAGATCTCGGCAAGGTTTTTAAGGAGTTAATAGCATCCCTGCTGCTAAATGGAATGAACAAGTGCTTATCCAGCTTACCTCTGTTCCAGCAAAGATAAGCACAATCCTCCCCGCAACTCACAGGATCATTAATGCCGTCCTCTCCATCCCAGCCCAGCTGCATATGGTTAACTTTGCAGCTGCTCACACTACAGAGAATCAGAGAGCAGCAAAAGACTACACCAGGCTGCGCTCTTTAGCTTGCTTGGGTGCAACCACTGTACCTTTCCTGTCGGTCTCTGTTGCATGCACTAACAAAATATCTCCGGACCCGCCGCGAACATCTGGCCCGTCGTCTCCCTGCAATGAGAACAGAAACACATTATACATAACCCAAGCCCCCTTCGGCCTGGTTTATCATCTCTGAGGTCCAAACTCAGCACTAACTGGCAGGGTACACCATGTTCCCAGCGCTGCTCACAACACAAGCTGGGACGTGGTCTTAGGAGCTGGGCTGATCCTGCAATCTGAGTACAACATTTGGTGTCCCAGGTGAGGATCTGGGCTAAAGCTCACTCGGGGTCGCTCACTCTTTGAGGCCAGGCTGTGAAGCACAGTGAAAGCTGAACCTTCTGCCCACCAAAGAATGAACAGAAATGTCCCAGACTCTCAAAAACTCCCAAAAGACCATTAACAGAGCAGTAACACTATGTGAACTGTCTCAAAATGCACGATCACATATCACAGCGGCTGTAGGGTGAAAGGTCATACATTCAACTTAAATGTTTCTGAAACATCAAAACCTAGCAAGTTAATTCCATAATCTGGAACTATTTGGCTGGAGGTCACCTGAAGTGATCCAGTAACCAGGAGCAGGAACCCAGCCTGCTAACTGCTTGACCTTTGCCTTACCACTCTCTGAAAACTTTTTTCTAGCTACTGCAGTTCACTACTGAAAATACACACAACTAATCTATCACTTCGCCAGTGGTTCCCATGCTATAGGAAATGCCTCACAGCAGAAGTTAAAAAAGAAGTTAAAGATTGACATGGATCTGATAGTCCAAATTGTTCAGAAACCACTAATCTTTAAAGTTTTGTTAAGGGCACATTCATTCCTGCAAGGTAGACGCTAGAATCAACGTCTGGCTTCCCTTAGCAATGTCTCTGTCATTTCAACATGCAAAATGCTGAAAAAACTACGGATTTGCAGCCAGAGAGCAGCTACGTCTAAGATGTGATTTTATCAGGTGATCCCCTGGCAAGACTCACGAAATAGTACTTGGGGAACGAGTAATGGCTTCTCACTCACTTCTGTGCATCTCGGCTGACTAAAGAACACCCCTGAAGTGCCAGTAAATGATACCTTCCTTCTGTTTTTCCAACTAGCCCCCTTGGTAGTCTGAAAGCTTCAGAGGCCTCCATGTTCCCTCTAGTCACCCGTCAGAAAAGTTTGGTTCAAGAGCATAGCAAGCAAGCAGGTTCAAGAGCATAGCAAGCAAGCAAAGATCTCTGGGAGTGCACCCAAGGCTAGAAACAAAGCCATTTCTCAAATACAGGAACAGTTACTTTGGCTGCTCTTCCAAAGCCAGGATCAGTAATATAACGTCCTACTGGGGAAACCTGCTAAAGCTGCCTTCAGACTGAAAGGCCAACACCATAAACCTTCACCTGGATTTATTGTGTTCAAACTCTCAGGTGCGTCATTTCAGACTGTAATAGGCTGAAGATGCGGGAGGGAGCAGACTGGGAAAAGGGTATAAGATGAACTGGTTTTAGAGAGACATTGCACATTTTGTTAAATCCACTCTCAGTGCTGATGTTCCCTGCCTGTACTAGCATCTCACACTCTCACGACAGTTTGTGCACATAAAGCTACATACCGTGTCTGCTATAACCTGGTTTTTCCTATTGGCTCAAATAAAAGCTGATTCCTTGCTTGTGCACTCACAGAGGTCAGATTTCAATAGAGCCTGACCCAAAGAATATGAAAGTGAGCCTTGAGAGCACCTACCTCTTGCTTCAGCGTTAACCTGGCCATAATTTCACTGTGGTCAATCAGGGATAGCTCGTCTACCTCTTCCTCCAACTGTGACGATTCCAATGCATCCGGTGACTGCTGCTGCCTGGAAGAAAGCAAACAACCACCAGTGCCATCACCCAGCCAGACAGGAGAGGAGATGCTGGGTCCAACCGAGCTGTCAGCGTTCAGACCTTCATTAAGGACCTCTGAGTACACAGCAAGTCTGGAGGTAAATCCTCTGCAAACAAGCCCAAACGTCTAGCTCTAATTCTGTTGTTTTGTGCATCTCTTGGAAAAGAGAAAGATGAGCTTTCAGGACCGAAACAACTGTTTGCCTTGATTTCTGGCTGACAGGATTTTATTATGCCCTGCTTGCGTATTACTTCTGTGTCTCCTTAATCTGCCAAATTTTCAGTGCACACAAATATAAGCCCTTCTTCAAACGTATAGAGACTAAGCATACTGTACACGCATATCTTTTAGCCAGCTCACAACCCATTCTACTGCTACAGGGAGAGATGGCAGGCTGTCTTTTTGCAGGAAGATACGGCAAAGAGCTCTCCCCACTTCTCTTGCTGTACATCCATGATCCTAGCACTCCAAGCCCCAAAGGGAGGTACTCTAATGCCTGGGCGTGCACTGTGCCTGGATTCTGTAGCAATAAATTAAGTAAGTAGGTAAGTAAGTAAATAAGTGAATAAATAAAGTGCACATGTCCTTCACAGCTTTCCCCAGCCACAGGCCCAAATTCCTTGCGCTGCTCAGTGCTTTTACCAGATACTGAGCTTTGTGGAGCACTGCTGCATTGTCTCCTTCACTGCAGGGATTAAAGCCCTCAAACCAGCTGTAGGAAAATGGGGGAGGGAAGTTGACTGTCGCACACAGAACAATGCTCTTCCCTATTTTCGCTTTAAAAATTCAACTGAAGAGCAATCTCAAGCAGCAGGGAAGCACTCACTCCACTTCTGCTGAAGCCCATCTGTTACAGCCTGCACCTCTTCATTTACATAGACAAATGACAGCTAAGAGCATTAGAAGGGATATAAAGCCTCCTTCCTGCTTTGGGGCCTCAGCCAGCCACTAACCAGCAGAGTTAGGAAGAAATTCCCTTCTGGAAGACTATTTCCCAACAGCAATACAGACTTTTCTTGCATGTTTTCCTGGAAGCCGGAGAGACCAGCCAGCGTCAATGACAGGACAGCAAATTACGACAAACACAGGCTGCATTAACCCTTACTGGCCTGTTGCATTAAGTAAGGCCACCTTGCCTGCATCCTCCTTGTTCAGTGGGATCCCACTGCTCACTAGCTGTGCAACAAAGTGGGCTCCATGTCTGGAGAACTTTGAGATGGTTGAACATCGAACAGGAGGCTCGAACCTAACATCGAACCTAATGGTTGGCTGGTAGAGAGCAGGACTCAAAGCACGTCGGTGATACTCTGCACGCTTCGAGGGCTGGACGCAGGTGTACCATGGGAGTCAGGCTCACCTTTCAGCACCGTCTTTGCCTTCCTTCCCCATGGCACTGCTGTTTGAAGTGGAGTCTTTGGAGTGGCCGTCTTTGATGGAGGGAGATTCCTACAAAGCGAAGGAAATGTTTCGTTATTACACGGGATCCTATACCACAGCTGGTCTTGCATTTACAGTCTTACTGTCGCTAAATGGCCCTTTACTGTAAATTCCTACAGAGTGGTTAAAGATTGATGCAAGTTAATGCCAAATGCCAGGAAAACATAGAAGTTAATTAGACAGGAAATTTGGGACCATCTCTGGAGACTAGTGTAATTAGTATTGTTTGCTTTTAACATTGTGAAATGATGCTGAAAGTTACAACACAAGTCAGCTGCTGTCTTGGATTTTAACCCTCTCACCACTTTTTTTTTTTTCCCCCCAGCCCTTGCTGTTGAAATATACTTGCCTTCTGCTTTAATCAGGATGGCCAAAGCCAGCTCTAAGCTCTCCAGTTTCAGTTCCCCTCCTAGTTACAACCCCCAAAAGACTAGAGAGTCTTAGTGGGTGGATGCAAGCTGCCTTTTCTACCTCCCTTCTCTCCCATCAGAGGAGGTTATGCAATGACACAGTGTTTCCACTTCACAATCCACTGCTGTGGAAACGATGCTAATTCAGAAAAGCAGAACCATCTGAACCTGGGGCGTGGAACAGCAGGTAGAGAGTTCAAAGCAAATAAAGGTATAACATTTTAAATTGGCCATTTATTAAGAAGGAAAATAGCCACGAATGACAAAGGGGAATATTAATCTAACAGTGCTAGAGTTCAGAATTATCGAACACCATGCAGAAGGAAACCTGGAAATTCAACCTACTGAAGAGACAGGACTGAAACCACCTACATGCTACCCAGATTCAGTCAGGAAAACGCACTGATGAGTTTAGGTTTCTAAGCGTCTGCAGAATTTTTCCAAACCGTGTATCTGTAAAGCCCTTTTTTTTCAAAGTTAAGAGCCATCCAGCTGCTGCACAAAAGGACAGGCTTGCCTAGATGTGTCTCTTGAAGGGAAGCGATGGGAGCACTCTCTCGTGGGACATTTAACGCTAGCACAGATAAAGCTCTCGGAGACATCCTGCAGGGCATATGCCTTCCAAGATGCGGTTGGGCAAGAAAGATTACCACAGACCTCTGCCTTCATTTTCTCTGGTACAGCAGGAAGATGGTGCCTCCCTGCGACGGAATACACCCTGTCTCCTGGAGGAAATTCCTAACACATGAGCCTTGTGCAAAGGAAGAAACATTCTGTGATTATAAGGCTAAAACAATCACTCACTCACTTTGAATCCAAACGGTGAAGGAAAAAAAAAAAAAAAACCAACCTAGGAGCAGAAGGCTTGCTTTATTAAAATAGGAAAGCCAAAGCAGTTACACGTATAAACACGGACCCCAGGACCGCACTGGTCAAAGAGCGTAGCTTTCTAAAAAAGGAACCTCAAGCAAGCAGCTCTAAACAAACGGCAAAGCACAACGAAACAGCGTGGAAGGAAAAGCCGTCCCTACACCCTGCCGGGGCTCAGCAGAGCCTCGAAAGCACCGCCTGCTCTCCCCAAACTGTGTCGTCAGCGCAGCCTGCAAGCCAGGAGCGGGCAAGCACCGGGACCGGGTCAGCAAGACGAACACACAAACTCCACAAAGTGCAGAAGAGGCCGGTACCAAGCGCATTAGCCCCTGCGTGAACGCAGCATGCACCAAGCAGCCCCTTCCCAGTGTTTGGCCCTCTCCAGGTTACTTACTCCTTCAGAGTGAGGGAGTTCCCCGTTGCTTTGGCCAGAGGAATACAGATTGACGTATTCACCCTCACCAGCCTCCTCACTGGCGTTTTCACTCTAAGGGAGACAGGATGAAAGGAGATATGTGACGGTGCCCTGCGCCCAGCACTTGATGCTAGTGAGTGAGCGTGCCTGGCCCACACGCTGGGAGGAGATGCTGCCACCGCCTAACTGGGAACCCTTCCTCTGGCATTGCGGGGAGGCTGCCAACGCTTGGCCGCTGATGCTGCACTCTCCCACAGGTAGTATTCTCCATTTCTCGAGGGCTATCCAGAAGGCCTTCAGCTACAGCAGGACAGCAGCAGGGGCTGCTTTGCAAGAGCTGCCATTGACTCAAAACGAGACTGCGAAGGCGCAAAACGCACATGCGGACCTCAAGGTTACCGAAGCTGAACAGTTAGAGCTTCAAACAAAAATGCTTATCCTAACAACACTATCAACTATCCTAACAACACTAACAACCATCCTTTAGTCCTGCCCCTAAGAGCAGATCAGTCCTGCAGCCCAGAAAAGACCAAATGTGACCCCCAACTATGCTACACAGCACAGCCTATAGCTGTAACACCAGCCTAAACTAAGCTCAAGGGGCTACCGTGCTCTGACAAGGACCCAAAGCAAGGAAGATGCAACAGCAAGGTCACGTCTGAAGCACGTGAGGAGCTGACCATTTACTCGACAAACTCTGTGTCCCTCTTCCAAACTGTGTGGAGAGGCAGCACTACCATGACTTGTGCTGATGGCCCGCTGGTCTGCGAAACCAACCTCGGACCTTAAAACAGTAGCGTCATACCAGTGGGGGAACAGGATTAGCCTAACCTCACCAACACCTGACGTGTCGGACCAACGTGCGCTGCCAACTAAACACGCAACTAAGGCTGCTGGTAACTGGGAAGAGAAGGCACCTGGAGGAAGCAACAGGTTTACTGCACAGGAGAGCACAGAGCTGAACTGGATCTGGGCCGCTCCAGGGGCTCACAGGTGACATAGGGAGGGTGAATAGGACAGCAGTCATGAATCCTGGCATGGTAGTAACCGCAGGATGTGAACCACCGTTGGGAGCCCGTGTTTAGAAACAACCAGCCTCACAAGTCGTTCCTTTGCTTTCTGCAGATTTGTACTACGATGCTTCCAGGAAGCTATAGCAATTTCTCCTCCTTTCCCTTTCACCAGCATTTGACTTTTTTTTTTTTTCCTACATATGCAATAATGGTTTCTCAAACCTGCTTGTGTTCTTCATTGTTTTGTACCCATCATCTTAATATAAAATCATCTCTCTGCCTTCATACGTATGTGTGGAATCCAGACTAGATCACATTGCCTAATACATCTGAAGTATGTATCAATGCAAGAGACATTTCTTTAAAAAAAACAACCCAGCCTTGTGTTAAGGTGCATTATCTCTTTGGATAGTCTCACCGAAGACGTCTGGAGAGAATCAGTGAAAGAAGTTTCAGAAGGAAGGCAGACAGGAGCATTCCCGTTAAAGCTGCTCTCCTGAGAAGAGGAGTTTGGCACATCCACAGTGCTTGGTGACGGGCTGGCTGTGGTTGGCACCGCTAGGTCAGAGCTCTGAGACGGATGGATGGGTGGAAAGGGGGGGGTAGAGCAGGACGAGGAGGTAGAAGACAGGAAAGGAGGTATGGAGACTTGGTTGTGAGGCACAAAGTCTTGGGAGTAGGACCTAAACACAGATTTGTACTACAGGACGCAGAAGGGTACAACACAAAAACAAGGAAGATGGGAAAAGGAGAAAGACAGACAAAAGAAAAAGTAATTAGATTAACCGTAGCTTAGCAGTGACAGCACAAGCTAATTCTAACAAAGGCACCTCGTTGAGGGGCAAACCTGAACAGAGACAGCATTATTTTAGCATCTGCACACAAGAGCAGGAGTCTCTACCTGGGACGATAGCCAGTTTTTTTCACGGTAAGGCACGTTCTTACACAAATTGCAGCCAGACTGCTTGTCTCCTAGAAGACAGGGAAGGGGGCAACAGCGTATATACCTGCAGGTACACAGCCTTAGCTTGACAGAGAGGAAAAGCCTGCATAGTTCAACATTGTTAACGACAGAAAGCGCACCCTGAAAATCATGTGACTAGATGAAAGTATGTAAAGGCATATAGAAACTACGATGATGAGCACGGTATAAATATCTAGGCAGAGAAGAGTATTCTGAGTAGTAACTGCTTTTCTAGGATTTTCCACAGGATCCACATTTAAGATATTGTTTGCTCCAGCCCTTTAATTTAACAACTACTGCATTAAGTCTGTTCCAGAACTACACAGCTGCCAGTTAAGAGTGCGTGGATGCTGTCTTCAAAGCCGCTCTGAAGGATAAAGAAGGTTACAATAGTAGACACTGCTATTCCTTTCCATTTGAGAAACTTTGGGAGCAAAAACGCTAATTGCCCTCAGGAGCAACTAAACCCTTATCAAACCAATCTTCCAGTGCGGTGCCTCTAAGAGTCAGCTGAAGAGACCATCTGCATAAAGCTTGACTCCCCTATCTCTCCAAATCATCAGATTACTGCTCAGATAATATTAAATAGGGCGCAGGGGGAGTATATTGTGCCAAGAAAAACAAGAAAAATCCTCTGGTTTTCAACATCTGGTGCTCGTAAGATCTGTCATCAGGGTAACTCCAGAACAAGAACAGAGTAAAACTGACACCTAACCAAAAAAAAAAAAAAAAGACAACAACAATAAACCTGCTGGAGAGGAGTTTATTTTAAAACCTGCAGAGCTCAAGCACCAGTGTCGTGGCCAAGCAGACTGAAGGAAGAATCACGTCATCTAAAAAAGTGCTCCAGGGAAGCCGCAGTGGTTGCTCCTTTGCGAGATCTGTCGTAGGACAGCGCATTACAGAGCTCTCCAGAAGCGTAGGCACAACTTGCTCAAACCGGGCTGTAAAGCAACGCTGCTGTGATGTTAAAAGAAGAAAAGGGACGCAAAAGCATGAATCTGAAAATTCAGGCTGTATTTTCTCGGGAGAAATGAGCAGGTGATAAAAAGCAAAGCTCACTACATCACCTAAACCTGAGTGGCAGCACCCTGGCAGTGGTCTTTTTTTTTTTCCCCCCCCCCCACCTTGGAAAGATACAAGCACACAGCAGCTTAAAAACCTACACTGAGAATTCCCTCGGCCAAAAAAGCTTTTCCACTGCAAGCTGGAAAGGAAACATACAGGTCAACAGCTGGACTTTACCTTCCACCACCTTAATCCTTGAGTGGCTCCCCTCCGCTGTGGCAGTGCTCTATGTGTATTCCTGGGGCTCACAACAAATTGCAGGCCATAATACAGAAGAGCAGAGGGAGGTGCTTTGGGAAGAGAGCTTAAAAGACTACTGAAAAATAATTAGGATGCAAATCCCTGCCACATGCCTGTGGCGAAGAGGAGCCTGGCTCCAGGACAGGCTCCTCTCCCTTCCTGCCCATTTCTTTACAGATGAGCAGCCCTGGCTCTGGGGATGCTGTCAGCTTTCGGCGCTGCCTCCGTAACAATGATGGGTCTAATCTCTGCATTTACTTTCTGCCTGGATAAGTGCTCTACATTTATTCATTTTCACTTGCACGGCACAAAACACTAAATCCCTCGTAAGGCTCTGGGCTCATGACATCATCCTGGCTCAGCAGATTCATTACGCCTGCCCCGTCTCCCTGGTATTTCATGATCTCACTGGCGCTAACATGCCAACTAACGCCTCATGCTGTAAAGCTAGTCCCCAAATAGGATCGGGAGCAAAGTGGAGGGAGAACGTGTGCTCCCTACCAAACACTCCTCCTGCAGCGGCTCTCGAGAAGGCACTCGACACACTGTGGTCCCAACAAGGAGCTCTTCTGCTCCAGAAAAGGGAATCATTTTCTCAAATATGACCTAGGTCCCAGCTCCTCTAGAGCTGGGCTCCCTGCACCTGTATGAGACAGAAGGCACGTGCTGCCCTTCGCTTTGTAGTTGATGAGCATCTTCCACCAAGGAGTCCCAAGGGTTTGTCTTTTGACTTGCCAAACCCAGAGAGGAAGCCAGGATTTTGCAAAAAAAAAAAAAAAAGCTTGTTTTGGGCATGAGTGAAAGGAAATTAGCGGTCTCAATCAAGTCACTTTTGGACAGCCAGCCACATGGCAAAGCCTTCACACTGCTTGACAGCACTGGCAAGGTTAGTTCAGGCCAAACCGAGGCCCTGAGGCTCAGCAGCTGACACACTGCACAGTACAGAGCCTGCTGGCTGAGCTCACAGCTCCAGGAGATGAATTACTGGTTATGGGGAAGGAAAATGTGCACAGCCTGTGCCTTGGACAGCTTAAGAGACATTAATCCCAATCCAAAGGCAATTTAGACCTAAATGTACCTCAGCATTGCATCAATTTTTAAAGTCTGAACATGGATGCACTGCTACTGACAATCTCTATATATCCCTATCTCCTCGGTCTCATCAATACACCATTCAAAATGACACCTTGGGACAAGATGGGCAGAAAATGCCAGTTTAAGGGCCACGTACCTAAGAAAATGCGTCAGTTTTCATCATGTGATCCACAAACAACCGTTTAATGATGCAAACATGCTCTCAGCAAAGGGAAACAGTGCAGAGCAGCTTTTGCTGCACTGGCATTAATGAGCCAGGCTGCTCTCCATTTCCAGTTTCTTGTAATGTTGCATCTTGTAACAAGAGCGCGAGGAAGACCCCTCCTTCCCCCCCCTGCAGCTCAGCAGGCCTGCAAACAGCTCTGGAATTCCAGCTATGCAGTCACGCTGGGACAAGAGCCAAGAATGAAGCATACTTTTAAAGGGGAAAAACACCCTGTGGTTGAGATGATGTCCAGATGGCACCCATTCCTCTCGCTCCCAGTCCAACCCGGCCCAGCCCAGCCAGCAGCTGCAGCAGAAATTGTTACAGTGGCTTTCACAGGGCTGGGGTGTTGTAGAGCTTCTAGAAGTCCTCTTGTCCTTTAAAAGCCACATTTATTTTGGGAGGGGAGAGCCCATTCGACAGAATTGTCACAAACAAACAACTTTTCCCCTCCCTCCCCACCCCCAAAACAAAATCACAGTTTATTTTGGAAATAACGTGCTTGTTTTTCTCTGCTTCTTAGAAGTTTCTTGCAGGGTCAGTAAGGCTTCGGTTACAGTTGCGCTGACATAGCCTCCTACTCCATGGCTTTGCTTATTTGTAAGTGAAGTACTTCAAAATACTCTTTGGAAAAACTACAAAGCAGGGTGCAACGGGATCCTTTGGAAAAAGAACGTTTTCCTCTTTCCAAACACGTTCTGTGCTGCCAGGCTCCTAACACAGAGTCAGGAGACAGTCTCCCACCACCAGCAAAGGAAGCACCAATATGCCGTGGCCTTGCGCTTCCCTGCAATGAAGTTCCAGTAGGAGGTGTATTAGTGTGTACCACATAGGACGTACCCGAGTCCTGTTTGGAGACAACCAGCTTAGGGCTTGCGTGGCTCTGACCTGCAATGGCAAATGGCCAACGGAGAGAGGAGAGAGCAATCTGCCACTCCAGAAGTACTTCCACAAAATGCGCTCAGAGCTAGGAGCAATCTCCTCTCCTAGGAGCAGCAGGAAGCGAGCTTGTCCGGACCTGAATGTTTACCCGAAAATAAAACCACTGTGACAGACAGGTCTTCTAGAGAGGGTAACCTTCAACATTTTCCATTTGTTGCCTTTGATTTTTTTTGCTATGGCCAATGTTTTAGAACAGCTTTCCATCATTAACAGTGGTGCTACAGGAAGTCCAAAGGTCAATAACATTATGAACATTTATTTGGATTAGATGGCAGGAGATAAGCATGCTAATAGAAAACTTATTTCAAGAGTGACTTTCTCTACATTCGCTAGGCATGGCTGACCACAAGTAACAGGGAGGCAGGATGTTCATAGGCAGATAGTCGCTGATTGTGAGCAACAGTAGTTTCCACCCTAAACTCAAACGTGAATTCCATTAAATGGCTGTCAGAGCCTTTGCAGCATCAGCAGACATAGACCGTCTTCACCTTTTAAGCGCAGCCTTCTCAGTTACCCTACTGACTTCTTTTGCCAGACGCTCCCAGATCAGATAGAGCATCAGACTTCCAAATACGAAGCTATCAGAGAAAAGGATCAATCTTTTAGACCTCCTGGTAATGCTATTGAGAGAGAGAGAGACATGGGCAATGTGCCCGAACTGGAGGCCCAGATTCAAACAGCAGAGAACTATGTTCACAAAATACTGGGCGTTGTACAAAGCCACTACACCCTAAGAATATAATTACATAGACAACTTTTGGAAAACACTTCCTATCTCATGACACAATGCTGGGCTTCCAGGTACTTTTGCTAATGAGGAAGGAAGTGCTCCTACAATGAATGGCTGGAAACACAAACTGCCAACAGAATGGCTTCAAGCACTGCCACAGGAAAGGCAGTAACTCCTCATGCTTCAATGTTTCTCAGCAAGGCCTCTGACCTGGCTGCACAGCTGACCTCACTATTTTTAAATGCTGGTTAGCGCAGCAGATGGATGGATGGGGCTTTCTGTTCCCTTGGGCAAGGGTCTCCTGGCTTCCTTGCCAGAGAAAACACAAAATCCAAACTTCCTAACTAGGAGGGTTTCTGGTACATCACTGTATGGTAAAGGGGTGATGAAGACATTTGTAAGACTCATTAGGCAGCCTATCATGCATATCTCTTCTGAAACTATCAGGACAATTCAATTGGCTCACAAGTATAGCATTAACTCCTGTTTACCTTAAAAAGTAGAGCTTGGAGACAAGGCAAGGCTCCTAAAAAGTCAGTCACATGAAAAAAAGTGAAGTGTGGCCTATGAAGTAAATAGGAGAACTGTTAAGAGAGACCTACACAGAGACTGACAGTGCTCCAACTGCAAGAAAAAATTAAGCTACTGGAAGAAGCAGTTTTCAGAAGCAGGATTCAGTGATGCCAGCATCAAGAGCACTATTAATACCACCATCCAGGCCTCCTGCGGGTACTGGAAATAAACATAAAAGTAGGAGGAATACCAAACAGGAAAGGCAAACAATACTTAGCGCTCAACAGCTGATTAAATGGATGCAAATCCCTTGCCTTCCCCCTTGCTCTAGATTAATGAGCCGAATCCTGTTTAGGACAGAAATGAACTAACATATCATGATCTCACAGCCCCTGTTTGACAGCAGTTTCCATCATCAGACCAACCATATGATTCAAAATAATTCCCAGTCTCTGCTTAGGGCTCACGCTGCAGAGCGTGTTGCAGACTAGTGCTAAGCTCCATAAAGAGAAGAGAGGCGGGAAAATATGCAAAGCACATGTCTCAATCATGTGTGCCTTTAAACACTTTCTGACCCTCCTTTTCCTGAGCATACGTTAACAGACACACAAGAAAGGAAAGCAGTTGCTGTGAACGTGTGTGCTTGCTCAATTTGCTCAAGAACGCTGGGAACAAGTGACAACAGAAGCCCTCAACTTGAGCTTTCGTGAGGAAATCGCTTGTGCCTTCTGCTGGAATGGGGCAGCCAGTCTGGTTTCTGGAAAGTTACTGGAAATGTTTCTGAATTAAAAAGAAAACACAAGACAAAACAAAACAGAGAGGCAGGTGAAGGATACAGCCAAATTTCCACTACTGGTGTGTACAAGCCTTGGGGAAACAAGTGCCGCCCTTATCTCAGTGAGGAAAAGCTTCCTCGCTGTAACTGAACGCAAATCTTTCTGCACTCTTTAGTGGAAACTATGTCGATGGCAACATATCTCGTCTCCCGACTGACTGCCACTATCAGTGCATAGCTCCCTAGCTGCCCGGGAGTAAAAAGATTTGACACCTGCCATGCAGGTACCTGCCCACCCATTTAATGATGTCAACTGCATGAGGAGTTAATAAAACAAAGGACAATATCTCCACCTTCACAATAAGAGGGGAGGAAGGTGATCAGCTAGAGAAAAAAACTACCCCGCACAATTACCAAGGAGAATGTTTTCTTATTGTATACCTCCTTTCACCCCATTTAGCCACAGAAAGTAGTTTCAAAAGAGAAGGGAATCCCTAAAATGACTCTTGACTATACAATCCAGTCGAGAGCGCCCCGCCGATGCGAGACTCGGACGACGCAACTTTGCATGGGAAGACGATGCAGCAGTGCCTTAAAGTATCAGCCCACGCTGCAAACATGACCCTTGCTGGCACAGAGGCTAGACACGAATCAGACTCGGTGAAAAACAGACTCAACTTGCCAAACCTATGAGGTTTGATCCCGTTGCTCAAGATCTGCTTCTATCCAGTAAAAACTATTACCTCTGACACAATTTCCTGCAAAGAAGGGAAAAGCGTGATTAGTGGGTTGACAGAGCAGCGGCGGCTTCTGGACTGCAGCAGCGCCTGCAGCTCTGAGCAGAAAAAAGGCAGAGTTCTGGAGGGGGGAAAAAAAAATCATGCATTACAAACTAAAAGAGAAAAGAGTAAAGATGCTCTGAACTCCATCTAATTTTTGCTTCAAAGCACTGGGGCTGAAACCAGTGTTTTAAAACCCCATAAATCAGTAGAAAGGAGCTATTCCTTCACATGGAGTGTACACATAACGGGCTAATAACGCAAAAGCTGGTACAGGCTCAGTTCCTTGCTGCCTTCACATGACCATATTGGTAGAGGAAGAGGTGTTCCCTGTGGGATTGACTCCTGCTGTTCCCTCCCAGCCAGTCTCCAGGGAAGAAAAAAGCACAGGGCACCTGCTGAAAACAGGCTATGTTCGGTGAATCCGCAGCGCATTGCTCAGAGCTAATGGACAGCCATTTCATTTCTTTATTAGTTTTGACTTCCTGGTATTGATTTAAGGAGGCTTTTGCTTCACGCACAGAATGGATAAAGATTAATGCAGGAGATGTGTCATTTTAAGAGATTTGATAATCACCATCGATTATTTGGGTACACAGGAGGCCAGCTCCTCAGCTGGCTGCTACGTGAAAGGTTTGCTGTCCCTAGCATTAACTCCCTTGCTGGGACTGGTGGAAAGCCAATGCTATCTTCTGACAGGTTTATTGTTCACCACAGTGCTCATTTGAATGGACTTTCTGTGGTGAGAAAGGAAAAAAAAAAAAATGAAGCCACGAGAACGGCAAGAGAGCAGAACATAGCAATATGCTTAAAGCGTTACCGGTGCGCTCCTCGAGCGAAAACGCATGGTCTTTCTAGGGAAGGCTCAGGAGCAGATTGCAAGAAAGGTTCTTGCCCTTCTTAGCATTGAAATGTAGGGTGTCACCCTGCGAATGATCCAAACCTTGCAGCTGCCTCACATTGCTGTCTTATTAGGGATAGGGAAAATGGGATAAAGCATGGTTACGATATTATGTGGGTCAGCTGTGAAGCATGTAAGGTCATTGGTATTTTGCAGCTCAGAGACAAAGAGACAGCGTCAAAATGAAAATCTCATTTCTGTCTGTGAAAAACTCATTTCTATCTGTGAAAAATGGACCAGCTAAAGTCATGAGCAACTACAGAGATTGCCATAATTTAAAGGCATTAATGGAAAAATTGCCATTTTTAATTCAGTTTATTTCCTTTATGCATTTGACAGTGCACTGCCTAGTTATTTTCATTGTTCCTCATGCTCTAGCCATTTATTTCCCCTCACTAAACTCTTGCAAAAATGAATAAGGGTTTTATAATGAAGTTTTAACATTTCATAACATACGATATTAAGAATAACGTAGGTTAAAACCAAGATGAGAACAGCTCAAAACAGTTAAGCATGTAGTAACCATTTAAATCCAACTAAGACACTTTTTAAAGTAAAAGCACCCACATATTCGTAGACCATTGTAATATCATATTTATGACCCTTCATTTAAAACAAGAACAGCAAAGTGCTTTTTACCTGCTATGATCTGGCCTTACAGTTCTGTGCTTTGCTTGCAAGGAGAGCTGTCAGAGCTGCACAGTTCAGAACTTTTGCATTATTTCAACTTTTTTTTTGCAACTTGTTTACCACATAGATTTAGGCAAGTCCACTAACATTTCCACATCTCAGCCTGTCTGTCTGTGCAACATTATGATACTGCTCTCTCTCATGCAAGTGAAAGCCAAAAGCTTTAATTCACTGCTTGTGAAATGATGCTGCTTGTAAAGTACTTGAACGCTTTCTTCTTCAGACCCAGGGCATAACATGGTTGTCACTAATTTTTAGAGAATTAAGCATTGAAATGGGAAAACAGTAGTGACACAGTGAGAGAAAACAGTTTTCAAATACTCAATATTCAACTAATTTAACACTTCCGAATTTGCCCAAGTCTTGTCTGACTTTCTTCTCCAGAAGTAATCTGATTTACTAAATATCCAGGTCACTGTTAAAAAATAGCTTATTCTCAGGTGTCAGCATGCAGGCTATAAGAGCATAACCATATAGTTTTACATGCAAACAAGACCCATATTGACCAGCTGTTGGAATCCCACAGTTAGATTTGATTTCATTACATTAACACTTTATCATTACTACCATTTAATTTAAGCTGCTGATGACAGCATTTAAGCTATGCAGTAAGATTATTCTTATTTTCATTTAAATCATTCTCAGCTTCTCCTGCGGTTCTCTCTTCAGACTGCTCAGAAGCGCTGTATAAGAGAAAAACCCCTGCTCTTTCACCAGGGAACCACACCGGCTTACTGAGCTTGTTTCGGACTACAGAGACGTGAAGGGAAGCAGACAAGCAAAGGTGAGATGAAAGAGCTGGCAGAGGCCATTTTCTAGGAGAAAATCAAGGAGCCACGTGCTGTAGCTGCTGTTCCATGCATTTGCCTAAATCTGTGTGTTGCAGAGATAGCATCTCATCATTTCTCCAATGGCCAGATCCACACAGCAGCCTTTAATTGACTCATCCACATCACTGACGTTACGCGACTGAAGAAAAAGACAGTGCCGTTCCAATGTGCAGTTTGGGAAACATGCCGGTCAAAGGAGCGTGTCTTTAATACGCAGGCCAGATCTCCGTCACCAGCCCCTCACCACAAATTTCAATGCAGACACATATACAAAGCATTGAAAGCTACACCTTCCCTGTATCCCAGGTCATTTAGTAAGGTTTACACAGAGTTTTTCTCACCTTGCTTATTGCTACAACATGAGTTCAAAAGCCCATAAGAGAACTTGCAAGTTCACCTGGACCTGAGAACAAGCACGGAATTCGCACACAGGCGTTTCACTAACACAAATACGCACACGGGTTACAGAAGCGCGGCGAGCAACTCACCGAATGCACAGGAAAGGAGCTGTGCCGGTTGAGAAAGGAGTTAGAGACTGACATAGTGAGGCCCTGAGTGGCACCGGTGTCCTCGGGGGTGAAGGGCACTTTAGTTTGCTGGACACAGTAGGAGACAGAAGGGAAAGAAGAGGCAGCATAGGAGGCCTTTATTTGTACCAGCCCGCCTTGTAAAAAGGAGACAGCTGTGGCTCTTCAGTCATTCTGGCTTTTATATATAAAGCAGTATTTTTTTTTTCTTTCTTTCTTTTTTTAGTGAATTTTGCTGGGAGTTGCAAAGAGATTAATTTAGGGTTAGGAACTCTGAAAGCATAAGCAAGGAGAAATTTGGAATGATAACTAAAAAAAATTTAAATACCCCCCCCCCCCCCCCCCCCCCCCCTTCCAGTCCACCCTGGACAGCTGCTTCGGTGACAGGCAAGCTGCTCCTCACCGCCCCTTCTCCCTGCGGCATGGGGGGAGATGCCCAAAGCAGCGGGTACCACAGCAGGAGCTGCTGCCCAGCGGGCAACTGGCTCTTGCAGAATCTTGGTGGGGTTTTTTTTTGTTTTTGTTTTTTTTTTAAAAAGCAACCTTTACACTGGAAACTGGGGTCTTTCCGGGGTGATCTAGGGGACTTCACAGGTACTGCTGGAATACTGGATAACTGCAATGCCCATCATTTTTTCATGCCTTCACTCCAATCCAAAAATTATATGCCATTTGCACAAGAGGAAGATATTATACTGTAGGTAATAAATACTATTGAGGAATTTCTCCTGAATCCCACTGTCTTAAGGGGTCTGAGGGAGGCTAAGCTACATTTAGGCTTTCTCAGCACTGATTTGTTGAATATAACATACAAATGCTTCATAGCTAACATCTGAAGCTCACTAGAAAGGCCTTTTAAATTATTATTTTATACAGATGAGAACATCCAGCACACGTTGCCTATTGCTAGAAGGGCAGCTGATAGCCACGTGATTTGCTTTTTCAGAACCTCTGAGGGCAGCCAGAGCCAAGGAACAATACAGTCCGATGGCTTTTACAGGGCTTGCGCAAGGAGCCGTTGTCTGCTTGCACTGCTTCCCCAACAGAGAGAGGAAGGTATGTGTGGAAGGCGGCACGCTGGGAAACCTTTGCTGCAGGGGAACTGCAAGCAACACCTTGATGGAATCAGCTTGCGAGAATGCCTAGCAGGCAAAACAGTGACATCTTGACTGCCCAGATAATGATTAAAGGGCAGAAAAGAAATGCTTTGCTTCAGCTGACAAATTCAGAAAAGGAGCAGAATTTCTCCCCAGAAGAATGACGACTACGGTATTACATAATTCTCATGACCTGGCTCGAAATCTATGCTTTACATACCCTCTCTCGTGACATTGCAGACCAAGTCACCAGGGTCTGTTACTAGAACACAGTCAGCTCTAGGAGTAGAGGTAGGGGGCAAGGGATTACAAGTAATGTCACAGTACAAGAATCACACTGACAACGGGACTAGCGACTCTGGAAAACTGCCTGATCCTTTGGAGAGGAGTCCTGTAGACTCTTTAGTGCCCTTGCAAAACAGATGGGACAGGGGCATTTAAGGTCTCAGCACACAAAGCAAAAACACATAATACTCAGATCGGCTTAGCCAGGAACAGTACTTTATCTTTTTATGACTCCTACCTGTGTCACAGGAATGCGGTTACATGAATCCTGAAACTAGAGCTCTCAGTTGCTTTTCCCATTTGATTACAAGTTAACACCACCCTGGGACAGTCAAACTTTAGCACAGACGAAACTTGAAGAAACGCTGCAACAGTCACCCTTGCGAGGATAAGATCATGGCTCTGTTCCCACATTTCCTCCTACTCTGTTAAAGCCATGGCCAATGTAAGTTAGCTACTTCAGCCCAAAAGATCTATTTTTTTGGAAATAAAATAGATCAGCTAATAGGAAGAATAAAATAAACAAAAGCCCTAGGGTAAGGGTTACAAAAAGGAGGGGAGACCACCTTTAAAAAGAAACAGGACAAAATCCTAGCTTCATTTTAGTTGGAAACCAAACTTCTGTTGCCATCACTGAGGCCAGGATTTCATCCACCACATGGAAAATAGCATTCGCCATAACGCCAAATCCACTGCTCAACGTATATATGCTTGTGGATGCACTGCTTTATGTGCCTGCAGTCTGACAGGCCAGAAGAAAACTAAGAATTTCCACTTTCAGAAGGCAATTAGCACTCTCAAATGCAGGAGAACAGCTACGAACTGATGCAAAGCCCTGGGATGTGCAATGGCAGAGCTGCTCTCGGGATGGCCTGCCAGCTCCCATTGCCACAGAACAGCGAAAGACAGGTAAAATCCTGAGTCTCACAAGCAGACTAATGTGGGGAAAATGTGCATAAGTTAAGTAATGGCCATACCAAACTTCTGTGGCTCTGGGGAAGATTGAGCCAGATCAGCAGCAATTATGTTTAAAAGGTTAATGTCAATGGCATCTTTGACAACAGTTTCAAAACAACCTTGGAACGACAGTGCAGCAGTCTCTTGAAAATCCTGTTGCCCAGGGCGTCAAAATCTTCAACCCAGAACTGTCGTTATACAAGCCAGTAGTCTGGCATAGATTCAGCCACGCAATGTGGAAAACTTATGTTTCACTTCTAGGGCATTTAGGGGGCTTTCAGCATTCATGGGAAATAGTCTGCATGTGGGGTTGGAAAGGAGCACAGGAGCTCAAAATAGATGATGCAAAATGCCTAAAAACATATTTACAAGATGACGAGGAACACACGGATAACACCAGAGATCCTCCCACAACAGCAGCCTGTCAGAAACCCAAGTAGCAAGACCAGAGCTATTCCAGGGAGGATAGTGCACCCAGCCTGGGCAGGGCCCCTGCAGACATCACTCACCAGCTGCCGCTGTTTCGGCGGGAGAGCAGGAGGAGGTGCCAGATCTTGCGAGGGGTCTAAGCTGATAAAGGAGTCATTGAACCCATAGACTTCCATGAGGTGCTTATTCTTCTGCTGGTAGATGTGCTCATTCTGAGGTGTCTGGTAGAACATGGATGGCTGCGGCTCTGAGTAGTCTTCCACAAACTGCATATACGCCATCACTGTAACACACGCAAAGAAAAGATCTCACTCACTGCTCCCGGCCTTTGCTGCAACGAGTAGACATTTGCTGCAGAATGCCCATGCCCAAAATAACCAAGCCAAGAGAGTAAAGGCCATGCCACCCTTCTTGTCCTGCTTTGCTCCAGGCCAGCAGCAGCAAGGCATCCCCACTCTCTTCATAGGTAATTCACACAGTAAGCCTCCATTCATCTCGGAGGAAAGAATCTACAAATATCCCCTCCTGCAAGTCAGAGCGCAATAAAAGCAATCACAGACCACAAACAGATACATTTGGCAATGGTTTTGCTTAAACCAGTGAGGTCTCCAAAAAGCTACTTGAGCAACTTGATCCACTGACTCTTAGCCCAAATTCCTTCCTCTCAATAACCCATGGCAATTTTGAAAATGTCCCTCAACAGTTAACGCGCAAAACTTTCCATCAAAAGAAATAGAGTAACTTCACTCTGCTTTCTAGGAAGCACAAATTACCTTGCACAAAGATGCAACCTTTACAACAAATATAGTTCTCAAGCCTCTAAGTCTCATATCTGTAGTCAGTAAGACTGCTAGAACGAGGAGGCTTACAATCCTTTTCTTATCAGAAAACCCCTGCCTGTGAGATTGAGTGCAGTTCTCCCGCAGCTACTTACATGCCATTGCCAACGCTGGCACATAAGCCTTGCCTTTTAAAAGTGCCACTGACCGTGTCTTCCTACGTCATTGAGTCAAATCCAACTGCAGCTAAACATCCCTTTTAAAATCATCTTGGTATCTCTGATTCTGCAATTGAATCCAACTGACTCAAAGGCATTTCTGAGATGTGGTTCAATCAAAGTATAAAATGAGATCAAAATCTCACTTAGCGGACCTTTGCATCCGTATAATACCCTTCAGAAATCAATGAAAAAAAACACACAAGTCTGCGTATGTTGTTCCAACAGAGGATTAGATACTGTCACAGTATTTTAGTATGGGAGGGGAAGACAGCCAGCCAGTGTCATAGAAAGACTACTACAAAACCCCAGAACGATTACAGATCAGAAATGTACCTAATAAATACAAAAAATAAATAAATAAAGCTTATATGTATACCTGAAAGCAGGAGAAATAGATGCACTCAAGGACTAACAAGGGCCTTTTTGCAAATACGCTGTTATGCACAAGAGGAACGGGTGACTTGGATGAAAGCTATAAATACAACGATCACAATGCAGTATTTGCACATCGTGAAGCTGGTTCCCACACTAGTTGCAAGGTAAAGCGCTCTCTTC